CCACCAATGTCATATCTTGGTTTCTTTTATAGAATAGTCCAAGATCTTTTGTACCTTGAAGATAGCGAAGGAAATGTTTAACGACATTCCATTGCCTCCTTGTAGGATAAGCACTATACCTTGCTAGCAAGTTCACCACAAATGCAATATCAGGCCTGGTGCAATTTGTGAGATAAAGAAGTGCTCCAATGGTGCTCAGATAGGTAACTTCTGGCCCTAACATTTCTTTATTATCTTCTTTGGGTCTAAATGGTTCTTTATCCACTTCGAGGGATCGGATGACCATTGGTGTGCTAAATGGATAAGATTTATCCATATAAAATCTTTTCAAAACCTTTTTCACATAGGTTGACTGGTGTAGAAAAATTCCTTCTGGGAAAATACTCGATTTGCAGGCCGAGACAAAACTTGGTTTTTCCTAAGTCTTACATTTCAAACTCCGTCATTAGGCATGAGCTAGCTTCTGTAAGCTCCTTGTGCGTTCCAATAACATTTATATCATCAATATAGACTGATATAATACAGAAGTCATTTTCGAATTTCTTTATAAACACACAAGGGCATACATCATTATTTGCATATCTCCTCTTCAGGAGGAACTTACTCAGTCGGTTATACCACGTTCTACCCGACTATTTCAAGTAGTATAATGACCTTTATAATTTAATATTATACATGTTACGATTCTCGTTTTTTCTTAATTCAGGAATTTTAAGTCCATCAGGGACTTTCATATAAAAATATTAGCGTCTAATGACTCATATAAAAATATGGTCATGACGTACATATACTGCATATATAAATTCATAGTTTCTGCCATATGTATTAACTTGCGGAACGTAATACAATCACTAACAGGAGAATATTTTACATCTAAATCGATGTCGGGTCTCTGCGTGAACCCATTGAGATATGAATCTCGCTTTATATCTCACCACATTACAGTTCTTATTTATTTTTCTTACGAAGACCCATTTATATCCTATAGGGATATATAGACTATAGGTTCAAAATACTTTAGCGAGTTCAGCTCAGCCTCAATTGCCACTTTCCATCTCACCTAGTCCGAGTGCTTCAAGCACTCTACTACCGACTTAGGTTCTGGATCCAGATTATTTTCGGAGATAGTAAGAGCAAATGTAGAGGCAACTATGTTGTCGACAACTTTTATATTTATATTATATATTTCTCCTTTTTCACAAATTCGTGGCCACTTCAAAGCTTATTTTATGTCAACCAAATCCTTGTCATTTCCCTTAACAATTGGATTTGGCCGTTCCACATCTCCAGTATTGTGATTATCAAGCGCACGTGCAATTTACTGGAGATTCCATCTTCAGGATGAACCTCTTCTGGAGGTTATGAGAGTGACTGTCTTTCTATATATATAATTTAGTTTACCGTAGACTTTTATCTTTTTTTATATGCTTCTGGCACATACCAAATCATCAATGATATACTCAACATGAATATGTGGCTTAGTCACTCTTTTCTTAGCAGATTATCATGTGAACTTCTGGTTCAGTTTGACTAGTACGTGGATATAAATATTGAAGATCTTTTTCACCAATGGAATTTCTTGACATTATTTTGTATTTTGGGCACTAATCTCCCCCTAATGTCGAGAATTGATCTTTAATAAAAATGCAGTCAACATACCAAATTATAAATTGATCCCCTAACATGAGCCATAGGTACTAAATTATTGACGGAGTTTCATAAATAATGTATGTACCTACACCGAAGTCCCATAGAGGTATGCTATGGTGGTGATATATAAACACAGACTACAAATATACGTAGATGGGAAATGTTTCGCTTCTTCACCACGTATTAGATAAAGGGGGGAAATTGTGATATGCAGTTGGTCGGATTTGGTTTGAATGCCCCGTTTAATTTAAGAAAATCCGACGGATCATATTTTGCCCAAGATGACCCAATCGCTCATGCCAGAGTTTAAAAGAATTTGGGTCCCTAAATCTTAAACTCATCGCAACATGGTGTATTTTAGGTCGGATATATGTATAGTACAACCCTGAGGAGAAAGATGGAAGCTTCTCTACAACCACGTATTAGATAAAGGGGAATAATCATTTAAACAAAACCCATACAAACTTGAAACTGTCTTACAAAAACATGCAAAATAAGTCTCGAAAAATTCCAAATTATCTTAACAAAAGTAACTAGAACATGTCTGAAAAACGAAATAGACTAATAAAACATGCATAGATAGTGATAAATAACATGATCACTCCTGGTCACCAAAATCATCAAGCTCCATCTTCAATAAGTCATCATCGTCCAGATTCAGGTTATCATCATAATTGTCATCTTTTAGGGTCATGTTTGCTTCAGGCAAACTGGCAAGATGTTTTCACCTTGTTTTGACTTCCCCTTTGAGTCCTTCATCATTCTCTGATAGGCCTCAACCAAATGTTTCGGTGTACGACATGTGCGAGACCAGTGGTCCTCACATCCACACCGATAGCAAGCTTGCTTGTTATTTGCAACCTGTTGATGAGAGTTAGGCTTGTTTGAAGGAGATCTATCCTTGTTCTGACCCTTGCCACGGTCCTGAAGACCATAAGCATTGCGACGACCACGACCTCTACCACCATGATAAGACCCGCGACCACGTCCACGACCTCTACCATGTCCACGCCCATGATTATTACTCTGATTTGTGGCATGTGCTTTAGGCACAGCTTGCGAACCAACTGGTCTAGAATTATGGTTGCGCATCAGAAGTTGGTTGTGTTTCTCTGCAACTAGTAACACAGAGATCAATTCAGAGTGTTTTGAATAGTTTTTGGTCCTGTACTGCTGCTGGAGTATAAGATTACTTGCATGGAATGTAGAGAGGGTCTTTTCAATCAATTCATCCTCTGTAATGTTCTGCTTACAGAGCTTCAGCTGTGAGACAATGCGGTGGAGAGTTGAATTGTATTCAGTTACGGATTTAAAATCCTGAAATCGCAAGTTCAACCAATCATACTGTGCTTGCGGAAGCAAAATAGTCGTCTGTTGGTCAAAGCGATCCTTCAGGGATTGCCATAGAATAGCAGGATCTTTTTCAGTAAGGTACTCATTTTTCAGGTCTTTGTTGAGATGATGACGAAGAAAAATCAATGCCTTTGCCTTCTGGGCAGAGGTGCTCTGAGAAGCTGGATCAATAGTGCTGCTTAAATCACAAGAATCTAGGTAGATTTCAACATCCAAGGCCCAAGTCAAGTAGTTGCTGCCATCAACGGCAAGCTCAGCAAATGCCCTTTTGGATATGTCAGACATTTTTCAGAAATGCTATAATTATCAAAAGAAGATATATCAATCCACCAAATTTATAAAATATTACACTATACAAGATGTGCATACAAACAGAAGTGAATAAATAAAGGAGCCACAGTGCATGCCTCTGTTCTAATTAGCTAGGACAAGTGATCAATCAACAGAAGGTGTGCATTTGTAAATTGTATTAAAGCAGACTACATGAAATCAACATATAGTAAATAGTTTATATGCAGTTTATGTGCTTATGTCTGCAGCATGTTCTTATCCAGATAGTCAAAAAAATGGGGGAACTGTAATGAAAGAAGAGCTCTGCCATCTAGAAAATTATAGGCTTGTTCCATGCAGTTTGATCATGAGCACATTCTTTTGTTGCTAATTACCAAGCACCTGTTCTCCATTATACCTTAACATCATTGTCCTTAAATAATCCAGGGACTGTCGTTTATAATTGAGTTGGCATCATAATACTTCAAGACCTTGGTAAACCTTGAATAGGCAAGCTGTTTTTTTTTTCGTTTTAACTTATTCATGACTAAGATATCATAAATGATTTGCATCACTTGCACATCTATAAACGAACTTTTTAAGTCCACTTTTTGGATGCGTGTATATTCCATGTTACTTTTTAGCTTACATGTCATACGCGGTGTAAAAAGAGAAACATATTTAACGTTTGTAACTAAGGGGCTGTTTGGTTGCACACTTTTTGAGAAAACTTTTCTCAAAACATCTGACAATGGCAAATTTGCAATTAAAAGTTTTCTAGAGATTTCTGTAACTTGTGTTTGATTCAACAAAAAATTTACAGAAATATTTTCTATAAAATATCAAAACCTACCAAATTTTACAAAAAGCAATTTCCTCTCAAAATGAGAGGAAATCAGCAGAAATCTGACACATACAATATTTAATTAAAAATCTACCAAATCTTATTATTTTCTATAAAGTTATGAGCTATTTTCTTGTTTTAAACCAAACAAGCAAAGTACAAAAAACAAGAAAATTGGTATTTTTTGATTTCTCAAGACTTTTCCTATATTTTTTTAAGAAATACAAGGAAATCATATTTTAGGTGGAAAACATTTCCTATAATTTCTAGAAATTGAACCAAACACCCCCTAATAGTCACTAGGATTTCTACACAAGTCAAAAATCTTACAATTATTTAGCAATAAGATGAGTAGTATTTCAGTAAAACCATTGTTAACAACAATAGAAGCTTAATTTCACTACGTGTTAAATCGATGCTATGATATAAATGTCATATGATGATTTCTACTCATATTCAACTATCTAAACAGCTAGATGAAATAACACAACAATGAATTTAGTATGAGCAGTGAACATAATATGGAATTTAATGGATATTATGTAAATAGACAAAGGCCAAATGTATTATTACATTGCAGAAGATGTACACCTAAAAATCTATTACTACGAACCGATGATCATGAACCGGCTAGAGCCACTCGTGCTGATAACATGTTGTAATATACTAAAGAAATGAAACAAGAGACAATAGACAAGAGAAGAAGATAAATTGTAATCTTTTTATTCACCTTATTCTATTTTCATACATGGTGCAATTTATAGATACATGATGGAATACAAAAGGACATAAAATTAATAGTCCACATACAAAGTAATATCCACGTACATTTTGTCTTTTAGATATCAACAAAATGAGTTTTAGATTTTAACATTGCTGACATTTTGCGTAAAAAATTATCGTCTTCAAAAGAAGGGGTGCTAATCCAAGATTCAATTATTACTCCCAGTAATTATTCCGCTCCGCTCTGAATCTAATCAATTGAAGAATACTGAGGTCCGTTTCATTTACTCTTTCTCGTAATCCTTCTTTTGTTGGATTCCTCTGTTGAATTGCCCAGTCAAATTAGCCAGCGAAATCATCTCCAGAATCTCATAGAAAGAGATCCTGTTGCAAACATGGAACTTTAAGTTTTGGGTTTTCTATAATTAGTTTTTTTTTCCTATGAGATGACAGATAAAGTTTTGTCAAATGTTCATTTGGGTCCTTTTCTCTTTAGTCATAGATGATCACCAATTTTTTTTCCTTCTCCAATGAAGTGGGTTTTCACTTCTGAATGGGGCTGATTCAAAACTTAATAAAAATAGCTAAAAAGGGGCTCCTTTAATAGGGATCATGGAAGATAATTTGTGAGGATTGCTTAAAATTTCATATTAGGAGAAAGTCTCTTGGGATTATTTCGAATAAGGATCCTATGAGAAGCATCCCTGTAGGAATGGGATGGTTTGCCTACAGGGATGGTTCGCACCATACATAGAAGAGGTAAAATTTACAAACTAACCCCTTAACAACCCGAGAATGGTATAGATAGTACCAATTGTTAAATTATGTTTTCTTTAAAAGGTAATTTATAAACTGTAAGTTTTCTATTTCACAGTCACAAATATGGTTTGAAAGAGAGAAGAAGTGTTTCTTATACGTTAGCCATTGGGAATTTGATGTATGTCAAGGTATGCACTTGACCTCTCCTGGACCTTGACCAACTTCAAGTGCTACTAGAATCCCTCAGTAATCGTGTATGGTTATATTTAATCTATATAAATCATTCTTCCGATATTATCTGAAAAACGAATTTCAACTCTTAGGATACTATTATCTGTTGTGGTTAGTCCATATAATGTGTTAATTGTAATATATTTTCTGCAACATATGATGCATAAAACACCTGGAGACCGGTGTACACCCCTCATAATGTCAGCAAGTATGGAATGTGCATAAACAAATGCTTGCCATATTTATGGTGGACAAAATTTTCAAATTGAGTTTGTTCTGCCCCGACTTTAAGTGTAAGGTGTTTAATATTGGGATTTGGGATTGTGTCTTTGAATTTTTGTATAACTTTATGCAATTGGATAGGATTAGAGTTCTATCATAAGTAGGAGAATGAATACTTTCATCATGATGAGGAGTTTGTATCCTATTCGATCTAGAAAGTTAGGCTAGGGATAGGGTTTTGATTTCTCTATATATAATCTTCTATTGTTCAATGTAAACCAACATGAGAGAGACACTATTCTTGTAATCTAGTGTAAACAGAGGGCGTAACCGGATTCAAGGATAGTGTGAGAGAGAAGAGAGTTTCATAATCTTTGTTCTTGTGTGTGATTTTCTTTCTACGTATTGTGCTTCTCGGGATTAATGGCAAGTTCTAAAAATCACAATACTTAATTGGTTGGTTTCTTTCGAAATTCAATGTGCCATAAACCCCACATTGATTTGCGTTGCATCCTAATTCTTAAAGCCTGAAAATTTCAATAGCTAATTATCTTCTATAAACAAGTGAAAGAAGAATCGTTTTCTACTATAATGCAGCTTCCAATGGATTAAACTATTTCCGCTGAGTTACATCTATAATTATACAAAAAATTATCCTACAAAATATGAAATTTAACTTCAGGACAGAAGCTAGTCAATTTAGATCCACCTTCCACTCTAAAATGCCATAACTTTCCCTTTGAAGAAATCAAATTCTCATGACAAAGAAACTCCCAAGAGTACCATTTCTCTATCGTCCTCTGAACATCATGAACAAAAACATCGGTTGAGTTCCCTAATCTTGCAATAACTCCTGCTTCATAGATTGCTTCCATTCTTCCAGGTGTTTCTGGATTATCTCCTCTTGGCCCGTCAACAACGACCACATCCCATTTTTTATCATAGACTTCTTTTGGCATTTCGATTTGTAGCCTACAACCTCTCTCCTCGAGGAGTTTAATTGCTTCAAGTTTGCAACCAAAATGTTCTCGTGCATGCTTAAGTAGCTCATATGCTTCTTTGGCCTTCTCATGATACTTCACTTTGAAAAATCTCACTCCTATTGTTTGTTCAGTGATTCTCTTGAGCTTCTCCTCGTCATCCTCCAAAATAGCCGTGACCCCTTTTGTATTTAATAATGCAAGGCCAAGAACTTGTGGTTTGAATCCGAAGAAAAGGAGGTTGCAGGGGGCTTTTCTGGAGATGAGGTTTGAAATAAATTGGTACTCTTTTGTAGTGAGATTGTCTTCTTCATGAGTGGTTGTACAGTGTGTGAGCTTGCGGGGTACATGTAGAGCTTTGGGAAGAGTTGAAGAGTTGATCGTCATTTTGAAGAGTCTGAAGAAGGAAAGGGCTGATAGGATGAAGAAAAGGAAGATGAGGATTTTTTTGGGAGGCATTCTCCTCTCCACTTGTTTCCAGCTGCTGATATTTGTGTCTTTGTTGAATGTATCTTCCATCACTTCTCTTGCTTTCCTTTTGCCTTCTTTCTTCAGTCTGAAGAGTGAAGTTTGCTGCTGCTTTAAGTGTTTCTCTTGTGGTATCAAAGATGAGAGTGACGCCGCAGAAAGTTGTTGACTTGTTGTATATGAGTTATTATGTACTGTTTCCAATAAAAAAAAATTTGGTAGGGATTAAGGGTGACTTAACCAAACTCAAAGAAACATTAGATTTGGAATAAGGAAAGATATCGGTTGAGTCAAGTTTCATCTGACTCTCTGATCTCAGTAGTCAGGATAAGTGGTATGTTGAATTTAAGTTCCAGCGTAAGCGAAAACTTCATGTGCATTACTTATTGCATGTTAAACATGTCTATATATTAATTATCTTCAGCACTGATGACTGTAACAAATTTATCTATTATTAAACATTTTTTTATTTTGTGTAAGGAGAATGTATTCGTGTTCTGTTATATTCTTGTGTATCTGGAAAACATCTTAAACATTGAAGTTATCTCCGTATGTCAAGTTTTTTTTTCTTTTTTTTCCCTTCTTGTTATAACACAAATTGCTCCATTCCAAGCTAAAGTGATTAGCCTTTTCCGTATAATTTTGATTTACTCCAGCTTGTATTGGACCAAAATTATGCCTAAACCCAACATGATATGATTGCTCGTTGTCCTATTTGTTTGGTGGCATTTACTTTGCAGTTTATTTTTCTAAAGATGGTTGTTTGATGAGTGTGTCTGAAGAATGATGAAGTAGGTGTCCAACAGCAATCAATGATGTAATTTTCCAAAATTCCCTCAAAAAATCATAACCACCCCAACTGACTGGTACCCATAATAAGTGCGAACAGTATGCATGTTTTCTCTGTCATTAGGTGTATTATTAATCTAATAGAGATTAATTAAAGAAGTAAAGTGCATCTTGCTACAATTCATCCTAATGAGTTATGATATGCCTTTCATAATATGTCTCCATCTGGTGGAGTGGTCCATCTAGAACTCTGTTGTTGATTCTAACTGTGTGCTTCATTTTACTGCAATACCCTAGTGCTGTTTAATTGACACGAGTTGATGTTTATTCTTTCAGGGCATAATGGTGGTTGGATCAAACTGTTCTGGCGAAGACTTTTATATCCTAACTTTAACAGAGGCAAACTATGTTCTCGAGCTGCTGACAGCCGCTCAAGAAAGGGACATTTACTAGGTAAGCTAGTAACTTATCGTTTTTATTACCTTTGTGTCATTCGTTATTGTAAAAATCTCCGTTTGATGCAATGTTTTAAAATTATGTTTTCTCACATACAAAATGATGGATGGAAAGAAAATTAATGTAGACTAGAACGAGACAAGTTAGTTTCTTTTTATTTTTTTAACTATTGCAGTTACTCGATACGATTTCAGCCCTCTTTTTTCTGTGTTCCCTTGCTCTCTCTTCATAGGATTAATTAATATTTGCTTGACAATTAAACATAATAACTCCATAGTAAGATAACTTTAACTAGACATAATATTATATGGCACATATTGCTGCCAATCACATCCAAGTAAATTAGACTCAAGGTTATTTGGTTTTGCAGTTGCAATTGCATTTCAAGTGCCAGTTGCATGCAAGTCGCAATTGCATTTCAAGTGCTAGTTGCATGCAATTACAGTTACTGCTATAGCCACCACATGCAATTGTAATTACAATTGCTTGGTTCAATTTTAAATCTTGCAATTTGCAACTACAATTGTAATTGCTGGTGTGTGTAGTTACAATTGCTTGGTTCAATTTTAGAACTTTGCAATTTTCCACTACAATTGTCAGTGCTGGAGTATCACTATTTTTGAATTTTAGTTTTCGTTTGGTTGCAATTGGTGTTGCAATTTAAACCCTATGTGTACCCAAAAGGTTGCAACAGTGAATCATATCCAAATCTGCATTGAGTCACTAGTTGTGATCGAAAGAGTTTTTGCAAGTGCAGTTGCAACTGTATTTATTAGTTGGAGTAAAATGAATAGCATTAACTGGTTAACAAATGTTACAAATTGTACACAGCTGTAATTACTACTCCTGCAGTTAAAGCAAATCAAGTAACAAGAGTGATCTATTCGTTACTTATGATTACTGTAGGGGAGTATTAACTTAAGTTCTGATAATTCAAAAGTTGTCTAGAGTACTATAGTCCATAGGTTTGTGTTAAGCCACATAATTTGTAGCAAAATCTTTTTTGGCCTCTTCTTTCTGGATTTCCTGGATCAGGAAAATGTGTTTCTTCTTCCTACAGAAAATTGCTTGCATCGGTAATCTGTCACAATTTCATTGTTCTCTGTCAATATTGTTGGGAATTTAACGCCGAAATCCCTAATGCAACAGAAACGCAGAATAGAAAAAGTATACCAAGATTACTGTAGCTACAGTGTTAATAATTAAAGGGAATAAACCCTTTCAATTCTCTCTCTCTCTAAAGTCCTTTCTTAATCTCCCCTCAATGCACGGTTGAGAGCTGGAGATGAAGAACCAAAATCGCTGCTGCGATTTCAAGGTTTGGAGAAGAGGAACGCTGCTGCGTTATTTTTGGTGCCGCCGCCAGAGAGAAATCAGAGGAGGAGAAGCAACAACAAAACCCTAGGGCGACGAGGGGTTTATATAAGCAAACATGACAGGCTGGCGACAGCCTGTCGCCAGCCACGCGAAGACGCGGACGTCGGAGCGCCAAAACGCGGACGTCAGAGCTTGGACGCGAGGGTCGGTGTCCCAAACGCGAGGGTCGATGTCTGAAACGCGAGGGTCGAATTTCCCAAATGCGAGGGTCGGATCCAAAACGCGAGGGTCGCGTTTCCCATAATTTGAGCTCGCCTGCTCGATCTCCACCTGAAACTGCGCCTGCAGTTCGTCGTCGACTTCGCCTGAGTCGACGTCCACGCTCGCCTGCATGGTCCTCAAGCTCGTCGGAGCTTCGCCGGAGCTCCTCGCCAGAATTGAGGTTTGATCTACACCCCTTTCTAACAATCTGCCACTTGGAGATCAAACCGCCGTCAACGGGCTATCTCATCAAGCTCCTCTCCTGTGTGGCTCCGCCCTCATCATCTATGCATGAAGGCCAACTGAAGTTGCGCATAACTCCAGTTTCTGAACAGTCATCGTCTTTGTTAACATGTCTGCTGGATTCTTACTTCCTGGAATCTTTTCCATATTCAACACGTCATCTTCCAACATGGATCTGATGAAGTGATACCGAAGCCCAATATGCTTCGTTCTAGAATGAAATGCTGAATTCTTCGCCAAGTGTATCGCACTCTGGCTATCACTGTGCAAAACATTCTTCTCCTGTTTGAATCCCAGCTCTGTCAATAAGCCCTGAAGCCATATCATCTCTTTACTGGCTTCAGTCACTGCAACAACATACTCAGTTTCTGTAGTGGATAAGGGAACGATCTTCTGTACCTGTGACATCCAACTAACAGCTGTAGTTCCAACGGTGAATACATAGCCGGTGGTGCTTCTTCGGTGATCAACTTCGCCGCCGAAGTCTGCATCTACGTACCCTTGCACTTCTACCTCTCCCTTACCAAAGTGTAAACACTTCTGTGTGGTGCCTCGTAGATATCTCAGAATCCACTTGACCGCTTCCCAATGAGCTTTTCTTGGATTCGACATAAACCGGCTGACCACTCCCACTGCATGGCCAATATCTGGTCTCGTACAGACCATTGCGTACATCAAGCTTCCGATAGCTGAGGCGTAAGGAACCTGAGCCATACTTTCTTTCTCTTCTTCTGATTAAGGAGACTGATCCTTCAATAGACGAAAATGGCTGGCCAAGGGTGTGCTCACAGGCTTGGCGTCGCCCATGTTGAATCTCTGCAAAACACGGTTGATGTACTCCGTCTGAAACAACCACAAGAACCCTTTCTTCTTGTCTCTCGTGATTTGCATTCCAATGATCTTCTTCGTTGGACCCAAGTCCTTCATGTCAAACTCCTTTGACAGCTACTGCCTACTGCTTCAAACTCTTGATATCCTCCATATCTGCTCCTGCAACCAACATATCATCAACATACAGCAGTAGGATGATATAGCTGGAATGATATCTTTTGAAGTAGCAACAGTGGTCGGCGTTGCACTTCTGGAAACCTTCCTTGTGCATAAAGCCGTCAAACTTCTTGTACCACTGTCTTGGGGTTTGTTTCAGGCCATACAAGCTCTTCTTGAGTCTGCACACCAGGTTCTTCTTCTTTTCTTCTGAGAAACCTTCTGGCTGGTGCATGTATATCTCCTCTTCTAGATCTCCGTGAAAAAACACCGTCTTCACGTCTAACTGCTCAAGATGAAGATTTTCAATTGCTACAATACTCATCACGGTCCTGATAGTATTTAGCTTTACCACTGGAGCGAAAATATCGGTGTAGTCAATTCCTTCCTTCTGCTGGAAACCTTTGACAACTAGTCGGGCCTTATATCTTCTGGAACCATCTTGCTCCTCTTTCACCCGGTAAACCCATTTGTTGTGGAGTGCCTTCTTATCCGTGAGCAACTCAGCTAGTTCCCACGTCTGGTTTGATATGAGAGACTTCATCTCATCTTTCATTGCAAGCTCTCACTTGCTCGCATCTCCACACTGACAAGCTTCATCAAAGCTTTCAGGCTCCCCACCATCTGTCAACAACAGATAGTTCATGTATCTCCTGTTGGGTACAGGAGGACGAGAAGATCTTCTTAATATCGGAGCTGGTGCGTCGGGCTCCTGCGCACCATCTTGTCCAACAGGCTCTTCTTGCTGAGGACCCTCTGCATTGGGTTCTTTCGAGAGGTTACTCGGACATCATCTGCATCTATAAATATTGACTCGCTCTCTGAGTCATCTGTCTTGTGCATGTCCTTGTACATCACCTTCTCGTTAAATATCACATCTATGCTCCTGATCACCTTCTTGTTTTCGTTGTCCCAAATGCGGTAGTCGAACTCATCTTCACCATAGCCGATGAAAGTGCATTTTTTTGACTTGGGATCAAGCTTATTCCTGCCTTGATCGATAATATGCACGTAAGCTACACAACCGAAAACTTTAAGATGTGAGAGTTTTACCTTCTTTCCGTATCATACCTCCTCTGGTATTCTGTGCTCCAATGGAACCGATGGACCTCGGTTGATCAAATAAGCTGCTGTGTTGACCGCTTCTGCCCAGAACTGCTTCGGTAGGCCTGACTGTACCCGAATGCTTCTGGCTCTCTCTGTCAACGTTCGGTTCATCCGCTCAGCTACACCATTTTGCTGAGGCGTGCCGGGTACGGTTCTCTCCATTCTGATCCCGTGCTCATAACAGAACTTCTTGAATCCGGTGTCTTCATATTCACCGTCATTGTCGGTCCTGAGCTTCTTTATTCTCAGACCGGTCTCATTCTCGATCATAGCTTTCCATCTCCTGAAAGCCTCAAATACTTCTGACTTATGCTTCAGAAAGTAGACCCACACTTTCTGAGAGTGATCATCAATAAAAGTCACGAAGTAGTGTTTTCCACCAATGGACGCGGTGGTTGTTGGTCCCCAAACATCTGAGTGAACGAACTCTAGCTTCTCTTTTCTGGGGGTTCTGCCACTTGTCTGAAAGCTGACTCTCTTCTGCTTTCCAAGTATACATTCTTCACACATATCCATCTCCACTGACTTCAGTTCTGGGAGTTTTCCCTTCGTGTGCATGATTTTCATCCCCTTTTCACTCATATGACCGAGTCTCTGGTGCCATAACTTTGAAGTCTCATTGCCTGCTGCAACTGAGATCAAACAATATGCACCTGCTGTCATATACAGGGTACCAGTCTTCTTGCCTCGGGCAATCGTCATTGCGCCCTTTGAGATCTTCCAATCATCTCCATGGAAGGTCGTGGTATATCCTTCGCCAGCCAACTGGCCTATGGATATTAAATTCTTTTTCAGGTCGGGAATATGCCTGACATCCTTCAGCTTCCATACTGACCCATTCAACTTAATTTTTACCACGCCTTTGCCCATAATAGCACATGGTTGATCATCACTAAGATATACGTATCCAAGATTTTCGGGGGTATACTTCTCGAAGAATTCTTTCTGAGAGGTAGCATGGAACGACGCTCCTGAATCTAACACCCAAGATTCCTCCTTGCTCTCCAAAGAGCATATCAATGCGTCGTCTCCTCCTGAAGTGGATGTGACATTCACCTCTGCCTTTGCCTCCTTCTCTTTCT